AGCGTCGTCTGTAACCTCCGAGGCCCCTTAGTGACAAGCCCCATTGTCAAAGGCAGGCACTTTGCCAGGAAACTGTGACTCCCAGAGAGAGTGTGCAAGGTTAGGGGGAAAGTATACTATTGCCAGAGAAACTGTATTCCAAGTGGATTTGTGTGGAACAACAACGATATCCAGTGACTGGTTAAATTAGCCACAGATGTGTTTTCTAGAACACTGTCCAAGAAGATATACAGTACTTTAAGGCTTGGTTCAGACATAATGATCTTCTGAAGTCAAATCAGATCCAAGCAAAATTGCATCGGTACTAGGGAAGTTATAAAGGAATTGTGTAATATGATTCAGACAAGTAGATGAATCAGACTGCTGCGAACTAAACAAGGAGCACATCAGTGAGAGATGAGGTAAGACGACTTGCATAGAAGTGTGAGAGTTTGATGTTAGCAGTTTGCTGTTAAAATCCGAGCTGCGGCAGATTGACACGGCAGTGAAACGGGCACGTTATGCCGGCCACCTGCCCAGAACGTGCGTGCGGAGAAGAATCTCCCAGTGGTTTCTTGCGGCTTTTCAGAACGTACGAGTGCTTGGTTTTGCACTTGCCGTCTCCATTGCTGTATCGCTGTCCCTGTGCCGCCACTCCTACACAGCAGTGCTGCCGATTTCAGTTTTTAAGAGGATAGTTACTCTGCTGTGGGCAATGCACTTATTAAATATTAGGAGAATTTTTACATACTGAAATCAGGGTACAGGTGAAGGCTCTGGGGCTTTTCTCATACAGGAGAATTTTGTCTCGGCATCACAGCTCGAGCAGTACGTGGGATTTCTGTCTGGGGTCGGTGTTGAGAAGCTCAGCTTCCATCCTGCAGCTGAGTTCTGACTCTTGTTCTTAAAGCTCAGATAAGACAGACGGTGGAGAGAAGTCCTGTTGAATTACAGATCTGATGTATGCTTTAAACTTCTGGGGAAACATAAGCAGCTGAGTTACTGTAGTAGTTGGAACAGGAAGCAAGAAAAGCTTTTGTTGTATTCTCTGGCCTATTTCTTTACCATGTTATTTACTTGAACTAAATTGAATATGGTGTGTTAAAATGTTGTCATCAAAAAGGGTCTGGAAGTGTTCAGCTTAGACTCTCATTGCAATAAGCATTAATAGTAAAAGTGGAATTTAAAAAATAGCAGTTTTGTCGAGGAGTTGCAGGGGAGTTATAATTAAAAAGAAAAAATTTCACAATAGAAATAGCATATTCTTGTGGATGAAAATTTATCTCAGTCACTGTTTTTCAGAGCTTTATTAAATATTTTGAATGCTGTTTGTGTAAATGTGGAAACGGATCTGTTTAGGTTTGCTTTGAATTTCCAGATGTAGTTCCAAAGAGGGCTCAAATGCTATGAGTTTATTCACAGAAATGTTATTTTCTTTTTCTTTCCTTGTTACCTCTTTGTAATAATTTGTTTTAATTGAGCAAGTTGTATTGCTTCCCATCCTCTGCTTCCAGTTTCCTCTCACTCGAGCTCTGAATTCTGCTTCAGGAGATTTTGCACGTCTATTCTTAGGAATTTTTGCAGGTCACATGCAAAGCCGTGTGTGTCTGTGCATGCATGCGTGTATGTCTTTAGACAGCATACCAATAATTAGAATAACCCTGCAAAGTCATGGCTTTGCTTCAGGAGAACTCATGGCAAAAAATGAAACATGCCTCCGTTTTCAGGTATATTTTCTGATTTTGACCTAAGAGAGCCTGACATCCTGACAGCTGGCAGAATGTATTTGTTCTAAAACATGATTATTTTGAAAATGCTCATACCTATGGCTTTATTTCTTTTCTCTTTACAGGGTCTTTGTAAACAGAAGTTTAGCCATGGAAAAGATAAAGTGCTTTGGTTTTGATATGGATTATACACTTGCTGGTGAGTATCTTCTTAATTTTTTTTGTCGTTGACTTAGTTTGGAATATTGGCTCTTGTTGAGCAAAAACCAGTTACTGGTTGGGCTACTCCAGTTGGCAGGTGCTTCTTCTATTAGCAAATACATTGTTCACTATTCATTGCACTTTCATTTTAGGTGTTTCCCTTAAATTGGTTATCTGCAAGCAGTATTTGGTCACAAGCGATGTTGCTGTAGTACAGTTTCAAGTGATTATGGGTGTCAAGAAAACCAAAGCTTAAAGTCTAAATTAAGTCTAATTAAGTCTAATTGCTTCCTCAGATTCCACTATATTTTGATATTGCCCCTGGCTTTGAATAACGAGGTGATTTCTTTTATCCTTGGTGCATATGGCGGGCTACGCCTTTAGCCAGCAGGTTCTCCGGTGTCCTGGGAGGGTCATTTTTCAATAGGTTTTCCTCTTTCCCACTCCTTGGTTGGCCACATCAGTGACTCATTTTGAGAAGAGGCAAGGCAGGGGGAGTGCCTTGTGTCAGCTAAACAAGTTAATTTAGAAAGCTTTGCCCATTCTTTATGGCAGATAGGCTTTGGGAGGTTGCATAAGACCTTTTAGTTTCATAAAATTTTTTGCATGACTTCTCCATCTCTCAAAGACTCGGCAGGCAAGTTCCCTGATACTTTTGATGAAGCGGGGGGTAAAGTTACCGTTTTCTGCATAATCAGACTTGCATGATGCTATGTATTTTAAGGAAGGAAGAGATAAAAAGCCCACTTCCACTTTCCTAGGTTACAGGCTGTGACTGAGGATGTCACGTACAATCCTGCCTTTCTCATTACCACTTCCAAGGTTGTGGATAAAAAGTTCCTATCACCTTGATATTTCAATTTAGAATTGTTGTGAATATAAACTGAGAAAATGTGAGGTAGAGTGTTAGGGTCACCTAATAATAGGTTAATGCAGTGTGTCAACTATGGTCATCTAATTACTGTGTCTACTGAGAAGGAATGAGAGATGAGTAATGTGGCTAGGGACAGTGTGAGGGTCACTGGAGCTGGGTCAGTGGCTAAGCGAAGGGCAGGAAGGTTTCCATGTGCTCATGGTTCAACACAATGCTGCAAGGAGCAGTTTTGGAAGCTGTGGCAGGTAATTGCAGTTTATATTTAGATCACTTGCTTTTGTTCTTTTAAGCAGTTATCCATGAGGCAGTAGTTATATATAAAAGGTTGGGTTGTTCAACACCGTATTTATACATCTGTTTAAAGTTCCTGCCACTTTTTAAGTCGTGAAGTGTATCGTTGTTCATCTGTGCTGGATCTGACGGCAGGCGCGTGCTGTCGCTGTTCGTGTTTCCCAGCTGGGACAGCCTTGTGGCAGTGCCTTTAAGAAGCGCAAAACAGTTGTTGAAGAATAAATGCTTAAAAAAAAAAAAAAGTTGCGGGTTTCACTTCCGTAACAGAAAAACAATTTCTGTGCTTTTTGCAAACTGGTGGCATTTCCCAAGGACTCCGGTGATCCCAGTGGGGCTGGCGTGGAGCATGAAGCGTTTTGCTAGTTTTCATCTTGACAGAAGGAGAGCTTCAGCACTATCCTCACTTCTCCGACTGTTCATTTTACTCAAGTGTTGCTTGTTCCTGTAAACACAGAGCAAATGTGTTGTTATCCACAAAATGATGCTTGGTTTGATGAGAGGAAAAAATGTGGATGTTTCAAGCATCCTATAACAGTACCCAGGGACATGGAAACCTGGGGCTTCCAAGGCTGGAAGATCACAGTGCTACAGTTAAGCAAGCAAAGTTGGTGCATTCAGGGGAGTTGAGTGACAGGGTATGGTGCAGAAAAAGAAATGGGATGTGGTCCAAGCAGAAAACTGGAAATCTGGGCCACTCTGGGGTAAGCTGCTGTCCTATGACTTCTTGGGTGGTACAACAGAGATAATAGTTGCAGAACATTTTACAAGGAGTTGTGAGAATGTAATTAGGTTGGAAAGCCCTTTGCAGATGAAAAGCATTATGCCTGGTAAGTACTATTTCCCTTTTTTTCACTCAACTGGGAAATTAACATACAAAATTACCTGTTTGTCTTCTTACATCTCAGAGTCATCCTTTCTTCTCCACATGGGCTTTTGTTACCTGACCATTATTTGCTATATATAACTGTCACAAGAAAAATTACATATTCATTGCAGGTGCTTTAAAGAGTGTAGTGTTAGAATATGATTATGATTACAATTAATTAATTGGAAATTATAATGAAGGAGTGGGGTGAGTGAAGTATTACGTTAGTATGTTGTAGTGCATTCATTAGACCCTGTTGTGTTTTCTGTCTGGGCATGTTATCCCTTACTCTTTCACATGGACATGCTACTGTCCAGATTAAAAAAGAAAAAACAATGTAAAAAGCTAGTTTATCTGTAATTTAACATCTGGAAATGGTATCTGCATACCAGATGGTGCATGCTGTGCAGAAGCCTTTTGGACACCATTCAAGACATGTAAATAGACCATGGAAGAAGAACGGAAGCATCTCCAGTGTCATCAGCTCCTCATCTAGTTTTCCGCATTTGTACTTTCAGATATTGCTAGGTCACTTTTCTGTAAAGTTGTTTAAAAATATCCCAAGCACAATCTTCATATTCAATGATTGAAGGCAGTCAGAGCCATTGACCCTGCCAAAAACTAAATACCACGTCCTTTCCCCACTCTCTGTCGTGAACTTTCACATCAGAAACAAACTGATGACATTCATCCCATAGCTGACAGTCATATGCTTTGACATCTCAGAAGAAGAATGATTATTTTGGAACACCTTGAATTACCTATTCTGTGGAGAGGAGGCTGTGGTGTCAGTAAAAGAAAACACATTGTCAGTCTTCTCTCTTTCTTCTTCCCAAATCAGTGGCCACTGGTAACACCAAGTCTTGCTTAGGAGGTGGTTCAGTACCAGAGAAGTCAGAATTACGTGACTTACTTTGAACTTTAGAAGCTCGAGACAGTTTTGTTCTTGTATTTTATGAGTTTAAGGACACAAACCTAGTTAAAATAACACTGTTTTCTGTCTAAAAGAATCTAATTTTGGTAGGGACGTGGCATTTCCTTTTTGAAGTATATAGTAAGAGCTACTACACGCATACTGCAGTGATCATTTGTTCTAATACTAGCATGTCTAAGAATGTCAGCTTGCCAACTGACAGCAATTTAAGTATCATGTTACATTGCACATAAAATATGATTTCATGCATTGTTTTATGGGGTAGTGTTTCTTAGCCTTATTAAATTAAAGGACCACTTAACTCAGAATTGAAAAAATTCAAGGCTGTCTGATGTAGCATTGCCACAGTGATTTTATTTGCTTTCAAGTCAAAATTAGGTTAAACTTTGAATTCGTGTTAGTAACTTCTATGTTCTCTCATTGTGTTTGTCTCTTTCCTTGCATAGGGTTGAGAAATACTGTTAATGGGTGGGTTGGGCAAACAAAGTCTTTTTGTCTTGAAGAAAAGAGCCGGAAGGTTTTAGCCTTCTCTTCTGAGAAATAATGGACGTTAAATTGCTGAATTTGTAGCCACTGTCATTACAGCTAGAATTAATTTGACTGCTGGGAGCTCAAAATAAAATGAAAGCAAATTGAAATAACTCTCACAGGTTTTAGATTCCTTGTTTCCCCATCAAGGATTGCTGTTGCATCCTCATGGGGTGAATAAGATCTCCTACATGTACGGAAACTCCCAAGTCTCCCTAGGTTTATGTGCTGGATACACTAATACTAGAGGCTCAGAAATCTCTGTTGTATATGAAGCTGACTGTCCCCTTCCTATTCAATCTGTCTGGTTTGCTTGTGTTAGTGAATCACATTTAGTACATAAAAGAATGTTTCTTTTAAGCTAGATGTTATTGGGAGGAAAGCCAAAGGAGGAGGAAGAACGGCAGGGTTTGTCTGGGGTTTGTGTGCATAGTTAAATAGTTGCTGCTCAAAATCTTGGAGAGCTTGACGCAAGCAAGAGTCATCAGCTATTTCAGCCCTTGCTGTTAGCGGAGGTTAGGACAAGTTTCTGCGATGTGACGCAGCCGTCACCCCAGCAGCCCTTTGTTCTCTGCCACCGACCTTGCTGCCTGCCAGCCAGGGAGCGAGGCCCGTGCCCATTCCCCAGGGTTCCCTTGCTCCTTGGAAAGCGACGGCGTTACACCGGGACCTGCAAATACCTGTGAAGGGCTGCGTTTGCTGCCAGGGCGGAACTGAGAATTTTTGAACAATTTCTGTTTAAATCCTCAAGTTAGAGAGATTTGAGGGTCCTTTTGTAGTGCATTTTTGTTTGCTAAATAGTAGTTTCTTTTATTATCTGAATGATTCATTTCTGCTTATTCATCCTGACTGGCTAGAGGACCAGTGGTCAGTAACAATTCTGGTCTACCTTCCTGTTTTACTAGTACTTTCAAAACTGCCCATGCTTTGGTAAAGGAAAATGTTGCATGTAATCCAAAAACTTCACAGCCTTCTCTGTTTTGTGTTTACTGCAAACTGCAGGAAGGAAGATAAAGATATGTCAGTAGAGAGTCTTCACTGCAACACTCACCTGAGACTAGGAGTTGGTGAGGCCCATTGGAAATGCAGCAGAGAGAGACTGGTTTCAGACAGCATTTTATTTGGCTGCTTCCTTCTCAGTGTGAGCTACACTCGTAATTAGTAGATCTGGATCCAACTAATGCAGGAGGCCTTGGCATTACTGGGTCTTAAATGGGACAGGTTGCACAATGAGGTGATGGATAGATGTCACTTGACAGGAGCAGGGCTAAAGCAGTGGGGTTCTCAAACTGACTGTAATTTCACACCGGGCCATTGGCAGATGGAGAGGGAATTAGTAAGAATTACAAACTCAATTGTGCTTGAAAAGATTTCTCTGTGACTACCCTCCTTCTCCAAAAGTTACGGCCTTGTTGAAAGTTTTATCTTCTGTCTCTGCGGTAGATAAGATGTAATATCAGTAGGCAGGATGCTTTCATTTGAAATGCTTTTCCTGTGCTTAAATCA